CTGAAAACATAGGTGAATGAAACACAAGGGATTACAATTTCAGGGACAGGGTGAACTGTCACAGTAAACTTTAACCCCATCAAATAATTCCTATTGAAATATTTCTGGGGCTGAATATTGTCCAAAAGGCAGATGTTTAAAATTATACCTACCAAATGGTGTATTAAATGTACATATGCACCTGCTTTCTTTTGACAGACATATCCACCAAAATTAATTTCAGGCATCCAGAATGGAAAACACCTGGACATGTGCCATCTCTTCCAGGATTTTGTTCCTTTAGGGAATCTGATATTATTCCTTCTTAATACTGCCATTTAACTAGATGGGATCAAAGCAAAGTCTTAAGTGGACACTATAGTCACCAGCTTAATGTAGTGGTTCTGGTGTCTATAGCCTGTCCCTGCAGTGTTTTCAATGTGAACATTACCTTTTCAGAGAAAAGGAAGTGTTTGCATTGGTGCCTAGTGATACCAAGCATTCACTCAGATATCCACTAGGGATGCTTCCTATTTCAGTGCTGCACTGTGTGTGTGCATGTGTATGTGTGTGCGTTTAGACGCTGAACGTTCCTCACATAGATGCATTGATTCAGGAGATGCTGATTGATGCAGTGTGTTGCTTTGCCATACAATATCCTCCCAAGGCGTTCATATGTGATACTTGCAAAATACCAAAGTTATTTGACCAGCTTTTTATCTGAGGTCAGCTACACACTTTCCACAGTTTCATGTGGTTGCTGTACCCTGTAGTTAGACGACACAAAATAGTTTTATGTCCAATGTTTCATTTTCCTGGGAGTGCAGTCTGCTGTACATTTCCCTATAAGACGTTTATAATAGCCATATTATACTCATAGGCGTGCGCACGGGGTGTGCCGGGTGTGCCTGGGCACACCCTAATCCCCGTGGCACGCCTATGGTTTGAGCCCTGCAGGAACAGCGTTCCTGCAGGCACTCAGTGCCCCCTGTTTCACCTCTTGCCCCTGTCATGGGAGGGCAAGAGGTGATGGATAACCCCCTCTCTGCAGGTCAGCGCGCGGCGAGGGAGCTCTCTGCTCTCTGCTCTCTGCTCCCTCTCGCCGCGCGCTGATGCCGGGAGCCGGAATATGACGTCATATTCCGGCTCCCAGCTGCAGCAGACAGCCCGCGCGGCGAGAGGGAGCAGAGAACAGAGAGCAGAGAGCTCCCTCGCCGCGCGCTGACCTGCAGAGAGGCGCCCGCCCCCACTGGACCCCAGGGACAAGTCCACCAGCACTCCAGGTAGGAGGCTGGGTGGACATTTTTTTTTTTAAATTAAAATATAATAATTTGTGTGTGTGTGTCAGTGTGTCTGTGAGTGTGTGAGTATGTGTCAGTGTGAGTGTGTGAGTATGTGTCAGTGTGTGTTTCTGTGAGTGTGTGAGTATGTGTCAGTGTGTCTGAGTGTGTGAGTATGTGTCAGTGTGAGTGTGTGAGTATGTGTCAGTGTGTGTGTGTCTGTGAGTGTGTGAGTATGTGTCAGTGTGAGTGTGTGTCTGTGAGTGTGTGTGTCTGTGAGTGTGTGAGTATGTGTCAGTGTGAGTGTGTGAGTATGTCAGTGTGAGTGTGTGTCTGTGAGTATGTGTCAGTGTGTGTTTCTGTGAGTATGTGTCAGTGTGAGTGTGTGAGTATGTCAGTGTGAGTGTGTGTCTGTGAGTATGTGTCAGTGTGTGTTTCTGTGAGTGTGTGAGTATGTGTCAGTGTGAGTGTGTGTGTGTCTGTGAGTGTGTGTGTCAGTGTGTGAGTGTGTGTCTGTGAGTGTGTGTGTGTCTGTGAGTGTATGAGTGTCTGTGAGTGTGTGTGTGTCTGTCTGTGAGTGTGTGTGTGTGTCTGTGAGTGTGTGTGTGTCTGTGAGAGTGTGTGTGTGTGTGTATATATATATATATATATAAATATATATATATACACACACACACACGCGCGGCGTGTGTTTGTGCTTTAGGGTGCACACCCTAATGCAATAGGCTGCGCACGCCTATGATTATACTCCAGTTTACTTGGGAGCTGCTATAAATGTCTATGACTTCTGGCCCAGCACAAGTTACTAGCAAGGGTAGAGAGAAGGAGTTTGTGACTTTCAAATACAGTGCAAACCGTGCTTAAATGTCTCCCATTCTTTCTCCATATTTCAAACAAACCTCAGCTTTGGGGCAACACTTAATTTGGCTTGTAACCACTTCATACTGCAGATCCATATTCAATGCTTCAATCACTTCTTATTCACTCACTCCATCTGTTGTCTTCTAATAAAATGACACAGCTTCATCAGCTTTTCTCGACAACTTTTATTCATTATTAGCAAGGACTGAGCATGGCTGACTCTTAGCTGGAGCCTTCACTTCCTGTGTGTGGTCTGACCTCTGATGTCATATCCTGCAGTAATAAGAGAATAGAATCCATGGCATGCAGTCCCCAATACAGCTATTGTTTTGGACATAAGAGCAGAACAACATTCTCTCTGGCAAAATACACAATGAACAGATCACGACAGAAAGTATGATAACTTGAAGATATTCCACCCTAGCCTATTATTATTATTATTATTATGATATTTATATAGCGCCATCAAATTCCGCAGTGCTTTACAATGGGTGGACGAATAGACATGTAGTTGTAACCAGACAAGTTGGACACGCAGGAACAGAGGGGTTGAGGCCCTGCTCAATGAGCTTACATGCTAGAAGGAGTGGGGTAAAATGACACAAAAAGGCAGGGCCGGACTGGCCCACCAGGATACCGGGAAATTTCCCGGTGGGCCGTCGGCACCTGGGGCCGGCCCTTTAAATACTGCAGCCGCCCGAGCGCTCTGTGAAGAGCGGTCAGGCGGCTGCAGCTTCTCCCCTCCCCTCTTCTTACCCCCTCCCCTGTAGCGTGGCCGAGCGAGCTGCACTCCGGTCCGCGGTGGCCGGCCGGAGTGATAGGAAGGTGCACACTGAGTGTGCACTTCCTGTCAGTCTGACCGGGTACAGGAGACAGAAACTCCTGTTCCGCGCGGAGTTCCTGTTTCCTGT